TTATTTATGTTTCCTTCTGAACAGGAAACTGAAGAAGCCACGCTTTTTCTTTTTCGGTGAAGCACTCGCCGGCGGCCCTTCATCCTCAGTCGATGTCTCCCCATCCCTGGGAACGTGGACGAACACCCTGAGTTTGGGAATCTTCGCAATCATACGGTTGTTGTTGCCGAGTAGTTTAGCTTTCCCTGTATTCATGTCAATTTCTGTTGAATACAACTTGCGGAATTCGGCTAGCTGGGGACAGAATATTGGAGGGGAGAATGAACAAACGATGACATCCTTGTATATCGGGGGGGGGGAAGAAGAAAGGGGGGGGGGGGGATATATTGATACTTTGGATAACGAGTGACGCAGGTAATAATGTATCGGCTAACGAAAATATATATATATTCTGCTTTTTTGGTGTGTGAGCTAAAGAATTTGGATTCTACTAAAGAATATTTTAGTGCTTGGGGTAAACCCAAATAAAGAAGAAATTAACTACAATTGAGCACAATCAATCTTCTGGAATCACGTTTTGGCTAACGAATATAATTGAGGAATAAATTTTCTCCGTTAACCGATATTACGCTCTGAACAGATACAACGAACGGAAAAATATAAGCAGACAGAAGACAACGGAGAAAGGAGGAAAATAGGTAGAAAAGGTAGAAAATGTAATTTTACTGTCTATAAAGCTAACTTGAGTCTGTCAGTCAGTCCTCAGCCACCAGCCCCCCCCCCCCCCCCCCCCCCGCAACCCCAATCCCTCCTCTTTTTTTATGTTTATCAAAGAAGAGGGTTCCGGGGTTTGTACCTTGTTTAAATGTCCAATATTTAAAATAAAATAACAGGAACACGCAACGTTAGTCTCACCAGCCACCGCCCAAATACACACTCGCTCACTTCTGATTGGTAGTTCCTGACCCCCGTGTCCTTCACACAAGGTCAGAGGGGTGTTCTGATGCCGTTAATATCGCTTGTTGTATATTTCGACACGCCAGTGCATTTAACAGTGTAAAAACATGGAGAAACCGACCCTAGCACAAGACCCCTAGAGAGTTCTGCAGCCTATGTCACAGGCATTCTCTTTCTCATAATGAAAACGTAAATGCAAGACAGAGTGGGACACACCCGTAACCTTCAGATAAGTCGACCAGTCCAACAAACTTGTGAAGGAAAAAAAACCTACTCTATTTGCGGAGATTAAGGTAAACCCAACCAAATGACATATAGAACCATATGATATGTAAAAACTTAAAAAGGCAAGGCAACCTCTACACCTTGTGCAGTTTAGCCTTGTTACAAACTTTGTGGGAGCTCACCCACACATTAAACTTTCTTGCTGATCCTGTGCCTTATTTCTCCCATGGTGCATTAAAGCCGTTCTCTCTTAAGTACCATTTAGTAACTACAAACAATCACAGGCATGCAGACATTGTCTTTTGGGAAACACGGGTTCTCAGAATGCTCTATGGAAAAAACGGGTTCTCAGTCTGCTCTATTGGAAACACAAGTTCTCTGAATGCTTTATGGGAAACACAGGTTCTCTGGTTGCTCTATGGGAAACAGGTTCTCTGTCTGCTCTATTGGAAACACAGGTTCTCAGAATGCTCTATGGGAAACACAGGTTCTCAGAATGCTCTATGGGAAACACAGGTTCTCAGAATGCTCTATGGGAAACACAGGTTCTCAGAATGCTCTATGGGAAACACAGGTTCTCTGTCTGCTCTATTGGAAACACAGGTTCTCAGTCTGCTCTATGGGAAACACAGGTTCTCAGAATGCTCTATTGGAAACACAGGTTCTCAGAATGCTCTATTGGAAACACAGGTTCTCAGAATGCTCTATGTGAAACACAGGTTCTCAGAATGCTCTATTGGAAACACACATTCTCTGTCTGCTCTATGGGAAACACAGGTTCTCTGGCTGCTCTATGGGAAACACAGGTACTCTGGCTGCTCTATGAGGAAACACAGGTTCTCTGGCTGCTCTATGGGAAACACAGGTACTCTGGCTTCTCTATGGGAAACACAGGTTATCGTTCTCGAGCTATCTGGTACTAGGGCAGAAAAAAAAATTTGAAAACGAAAAGACACACTAGAAAAACAACAACCCGTAAACTGTAGTAGCACATCAGGAATCGAACCTTTGGCCTCCATGACCTGGGCAGTGTGTCATGATGGTTGTGTTTGAATCAATCAATCACCACCCACAACCAGGAAAATATGAGGTGATAGAGAAGGAGAGAGGTACAGGTGAAGGGTATGTCTGGTGGAACTGGAAGGGAGATCTCAGAGGCTACAAGAGGCTGGGGCAATGAGGGACTGGGGATTGGGGTTTTGGTCTGAACAAATGTTGTCTGCTCCGTTGGTGTGAAGGTTGTGAGGATGAAGAGGGCGTTGATGAGGAGGAGCAGGAGGAGGAAGGTAAGTGGATGGGTGGGTGGGTGGGGGGGGGGGTGATTACCATGACTATAACGATGATGATGATGATAAAAGTCGTGTGCTAATAACGATGCTGTTCATAATGATGATGATGAGGAGGAGGAGGAGGAAGAGGAGGGTGAGGGTGATGGTAATTATGATGAAGAAGAAAGTTGTGTGCTAATAATGATATTGCTGTTTTGCTGATTGAAGATGATGGTGATTATCACGATCGTGGTGACGATGATGATGATGTTGATGGCTGTGGTGATGATGATCTTTATGACCATGGTAACGATAACTGGTGCTGGGGAGAGGGGTGTTAGTGGTGGTGACAATAAAGGTGGTGATAACGGTAGCAGTAGTTGTGTACATAGTGGTAGTGATGTCGTAGTGGTGGCCTGGGCGTCTAGGACGTTGTAGTAGTGATGTCGTAGTGGTGGCCTGGGCGTCTAGGACGCTGTAGTAGTGATGTCGTAGTGGTGGCCTGGGCGTCTAGGACGTTGTAGTAGTGATGTCGTAGTGCTGGCCTGGGCGTCTAGGACGTTGTAGTAGTGATGTCGTAGTACTGGCCTGGGCGTCTAGGACGTTGTAGTAGTGATGTCGTAGTGGTGGCCTGGGCGTCTAGGACGTTGTAGTAGTGATGTCGTAGTGGTGGCCTGGGCGTCTAGGACGTTGTAGTAGTGATGTCGTAGTGGTGGCCTGGGCGTCTGGGACGTTGTAGTAGTGATGTCGTAGTGCTGGCCTGGCTGTCTAGGACGTTGTAGTAGTGATGTCGTAGTGGTGGCCTGGGCGTCTAGGACGTTGTAGTAGTGATGTCGTAGTGGTGGCCTGGGCGTCTAGGACGTTGTGGTAGTGATGTCGTAGTGGTGGCCTGGGTGTCTAGGACGTTGTGGTAGTGATGTCTTAGTGGTGGCCTGGGCGTCTAGGACGTTGTAGTAGTGATGTCGTAGTGCTGGCCTGGGCGTCTAGGACGTTGTAGTAGTAATGTCTTAGTGGTGGCCTGGGCGTCTAGGACGTTGTAGTAGTGATGTCTTAGTGGTGGCCTGGGCGTCTAAGACGCTGTGGTAGTGATGTCGTAGTGCTGGCCTGGGCGTCTAGCACGTTGTGGTAGTGATGTCGTAGTGGTGGCCTGGGCGTCTAGGACGTTATAGTAGTGATGTCGTAGTGGTGGCCTGGGCGTCTAGGACGTTGTAGTAGTGATGTCGTAGTGGTGGCCTGGGCGTCTAGGACGTTGTAGTAGTGATGTCGTAGTGCTGGCCTGGCTGTCTAGGACGTTATAGTAGTGATGTCGTAGTGGTGGCCTGGGCGTCTAGGACGTTGCAGTAGTGATGTCGTAGTGGTGGCCTGGGCGTCTAGGACGTTGCGGTAGTGATGTCGTAGTGGTGGCCTGGGCGTCTAGGACGTTGCAGTAGTGATGTCGTAGTGGTGGCCTGGGCGTCTAGGACGCTGTAGTAGTGATGTCGTAGTGCTGGCCTGGGCGTCTAGGACGCTGCAGTAGTGATGTCGTAGTGGTGGCCTGGGCGTCTAGGACGCTGTAGTAGTGATGTCGTAGTTGTGGCCTGGGCGTCTAGGACGCTGTAGTAGTGATGTCGTAGTTGTGGCCTGGGCGTCTAGGACGTTGTAGTAGTGATGTCGTAGTGGTGGCCTGGGCGTCTAGGACGCTGTAGTAGTGATGTCGTAGTTGTGGCCTGGGCGTCTAGGACGTTGTAGTAGTGATGTCGTAGTGGTGGCCTGGGCGTCTAGGACGTTGTAGTAGTGAAGTCGTAGTTGTGGCCTGGGCGTCTAGGACGTTGTAGTAGTGATGTCGTAGTGGTGGCCTGGGCGTCTAGGACGCTGTTATAGTGATGTCGTAGTGCTGGCCTGGGCGTCTAGGACGCTGTGGTAGTGTTAATTGTGGTGGTTACATTAATGCGGATGATGATGTGGAAGTAGTGATGGTGGTAGTGATAATGACTTTGGTAATTGTGGTACCTGAGTTTCTTCGATTTTAATGGGCTCCTTAAAGATTGTCCAAGTGATGGATGGATGACCGCTGGGTGCGAACTCTGCGTACTGGAAGTAGGAGTCGTAGGTGGGCGGGAAGATGCTGTCCAGCGAGGGCAGGTCTAGAGGCACCGATGTGTCTGCAGTCAACGTGAAATAATCAACAATAATTATCCTCTGCCACAGCTTCTTGTCCTCCTCCTCCTGCTGATGCTTCTTCTTCTTCTTCTTCTTCTTTTTTTTCCTTCTTCTTTCTTTTTCTTTTTCTTTTTTCTTGCTCTCTTTCTTTCTTTCATTCTTTCTTTCTTTCTTTCTTTCTTTCTTTCTTTCTTTCTTTCTTTCTTTCTTTCTTTCTTTCTTTCTTTCTTTCTTTCTTTCTTTCTTTCTTTCTTTCTTTCTTTCTTTCTTTCTTTCTTTCTTTCTTTCTTTCTTTCTTTCTTTCTTTCTTTCTTTCTTTCTTTCTTTCTTTCTTTCTTTCTTTCTTTCTTTCTTTCTTTTTTTCTTTCTTTCTTTCTTTCTTTCTTCTTCCTCTGCTTCTTCTTCTTCTATTTCTCCTCCTCCTACTCCTATTCCTCCTCCTGCTTCTCCATACCTTATGTTAATCACATTTTTCACGACACAAGCTAACTTTCTTCTACATTAAAAATTCATAAATAACTCCAATATTATTGTTACTTTTCTGATTTATGAGCAACAATAGTATTAGGCATTGAACAACATCAATAACTGCGGCGTTGGGTGCTGACTATTCTGTTTAGCGCTTTACGATCGCGCTACAACTTCACACAGCAGGTAACGCACACATGTGTCTAGAAAAATTAATTTGAAAAGCAGAACAATGCATTTTCTTCACTCTTGACATTGGAGTTTTATTGTCCTAACCAACTTGCAAATGACCAGAAACAGACTGGAAAACATCTTACATGGACGTTTGATTTCCCTGAGCATGTCGACGATAGGTGTCAGAGCTTCATTCTTTTGAATTGAATTCTGAAAAATAATATTGTACAACTTACAAAATCTATCTATCTATCTATCTATCTATCTATCTATCTATCTATCTATCTATCTATCTATCTATCTATCTATCTATCTATCTATCTATCTATCTATCTATCTATCTATCTATCTATCTATCTATCTATCTATCTATCTATCTATCTATCTATCTATCTATCTATCTATCTATCTATCTATCTATCTATCTATCTATCTATCTATCTATCTATCTATCTATCTCTATCTATCTATCTATCTATCTATCTATCTATCTATCTATCTATCTATCTATCTATCTATCTATCTATCTATCTATCTATCTATCTATCTTCTATCTATCTATCTATCTATCTATCTATCTATCTATCTATCTATCTATCTATCTATCTATCTATCTATCTATCTATCTATCTATCTATCTATCTATCTATCTATCTATCTATCTATCTATCTATCTATCTATCTATCTATCTATCTATCTATCTATCTATCTATCTATCTATCTATCTATCTATCTATCTATCTATCTATCTATCTATCTATCTATCTATCTATCTATCTATCTATCTATCTATCTATCTATCTATCTATCTATCTATCTATCTATCTATCTATCTATCTATCTATCTAATCTATCTAATCTATCTATCTATCTATCTATCTATCTATCTATCTATCTATCTATCTATCTATCTATCTATCTATCTATCTATCTATCTATCTATCTATCTATCTATCTATCTATCTATCTATCTATCTATCTATCTATCTATCTATCTATCTATCTATCTATCTATCTATCTATCTATCTATCTATCTATCTATCTATCTATCTATCTATCTATCTATCTATCTATCTATCTATCTATCTATCTATCTATCTATCTATCTATCTATCTATCTATCTATCTATCTATCTATCTATCTATCTATCTATCTATCTATCTATCTATCTATCTATCTATCTATCTATCTATCTATCTATCTATCTATCTATCTATCTATCTATCTATCTATCTATATCTATCTATCTATCTATCTATCTATCTATCTATCTATCTATCTATCTATCTCTATCTATCTATCTAATCTATCTATCTATCTATCTATCTATCTATCTATCTATCTATCTATCTATCTATCTATCTATCTATCTATCTATCTATCTATCTATCTATCTATCTATCTATCTATCTATCTATCTATCTATCTATCTATCTATCTATCTATCTATCTATCTATCTATCTATCTATCTATCTATCTATCTATCTATCTATCTATCTATCTATCTATCTATCTATCTATCTATCTATCTATCTATCTATCTATCTATCTATCTGTCTGTCTGTCTGTCTGTCTGTCTGTCTGTCTGTCTGTCTGTCTGTCTCTGTCTGTCTGTCTGTCTGTCTGTCTGTCTGTCTGTCTGTCTGTCTGTCTGTCTGTCTGTCTGTCTGTCTGTCTGTCTTTCTGTCCGTCCTTCTGTTTATCTGTCTGTCTTTCTGTCTGTCTGTCTGCACGCGAAGTAACCCATAAGTGCTCAATTGTAATTCTTACTAAAATTTGAGTCCGAAGAATCTCAGCGCAGTGCACAAACTCCGTAGCATGGTCTAAGATCCTGAAATTCTTAGGGGACATTTTTTAACACTAAATTTTGCTCGGCTAGCGCCGTTACGCTATTCTTACGATTTCCAACTGCAAAGTTTTTTTTTAACGTATACACACGGGCGCCCGACCTTACTACCAAAGACTAGTAGAAAATACTAGAAGTCCTCTTCAAAAAATGTCAGCCTTCACAGGGGCCTGAACCCTGGACCTCCAGCACTAGAGGCGGACACTATGCCTCGAGACCATGCAATGCCCCCCCCCCCCCCGCCCCCTCCCTCCCCCCATAGAAAAACTACACTGATGGAATACCCCAAGCAAAATAGGCAAGCAAAAACCATTACAATGACGATATGCCTCAAGCAAAAAGGCAAGCAAAAACCATTACAATGACTATATGCACCAAACAAAAAGGCAAGCAAAAATCATTACAATGACTATGTGCACCAAACAAAAAGGCAAGCAAAAATCATTACAATGACTATATGCACCAAACAAAAAGGCAAG